CAATGCTGCTGACCCCCCTCTGAGCTGCCATCCCATTCACAAATGAGTGCAAAACAAGCAAAGCAGCTGGTGTCAACAGCAAGAACAAAGACTGGAATGACATAGGCTTCTCCTGTGAGCAGTCTGGTTAATAGCCAAATAAAAGCGTGTTTCAAGGTAGCATTTGCAGCTCAGAAGCATTAAGCAATGTGCTTAGTCCCAGAGATACTTCCCACTATGTTTTCCTTCTAGGACAAAAGTTCTTACTTTTTCTTACAGTTGTAAGAGGCTGTGCTCGAAATTCTCCAAATACATTCAGACTCCCCCAAGAGTTGGTCAATAAGGTTAATTTTCCCCTCAGTAATTCCATATTGTAAAGCCTGGGTAGGAAGTACATTTAAAGTTAGCACTGAACTTGTGCTTTTGCCAAGAGCTCTTACTACTAGCAATACATGAAAAAACTCTGATGTTCATTAACAGATTATCTTGTGCATTGTTGTATGCTTTGTTTGAAGTGAACTGCACACTGGAGACTAAAGTTAGATACTTTGAAACTGGAGGTGACTAAGAATTTGGGAATACAAGCGTAGTAATTTTCCTTCCTACCACACAAAAAATAATTCCTATTTAATCTTTGCTCTTTAAGTGCCACCAGCTGTTCATGCTGGACAGGATGTAGGAGGAGATACATGCAAGCTGAAGCCAGCGGGATTTGAATAGAGGGCAAGTGAGGTCATTAAAAAACAGTAGTGCAGACTGCAGTCTCTGTATGTGGTGTGATCGTAAACTCAAGGTAACTGTGAGAGGTTTCACTTGCACTCTGGTTTGTATTTGGATTTGTCTGTTTTGCCTTTGTTATTCCTTAAGCTTACAAGCCTAAGACACTGCCCACTTCTCTCATAGGGCACCCTTCAGATGGGTAGAGTCAAGTGCCCTTCACCAGAAGGGTGTCAAAATGTCACTCAGCAGAGATGGAACTGGTGTGACACTTAAATGAAAGGACGGAGCCCATTTAACCCAGTGTTCACCCTTTTGTTGGTGTTTTGCAGCACAGCCAACTTTTTGTATATGGGCTCAGATGGACTTAGTCAATGTGTTCCAAGTTACAAGAAGCTTCTATGTCTTGGACTGAGGGGTAAATCTTCCCTTCATTTTATGAGCTAATCTTAGAGCGAACACTGTGTGAGTTCAAGTGCAGGATGCACAAAAGTGGAAGCTGGCCAGCAACACTGCAGCTGCATTAAAAAAAATCAACTTTGGTAGTTCTCTGAACTATTTTAAGAACAATGATTTCTCAGCCTCTTGGTTCATTTTGAAGAATTCACTGCCTAGCCTGGACCAAACCTTTCTTGCTTTGCTTAGATGAGTATCTGCACAAAATCAAACGGGATTTTTTCAGTAGGTGCCAGTAAATCCAAAATCTCCTCCTGTAATCCTCCAGTGAGGAACTAGAGTTTAAACAACAAATGGAGGTAGTTAAGTAGTAGACATGTACATATTTAGTACAAATATTTCTGTAAAAAATTTTGTTGTTTTGCTAGTTTAATTGTCATCCACTCATCAAATAAAAGAGAATTTGTAAACGTTCAGGAGATAAGACAAGTATGTATATTGTCCTAATAGTCTTTCCACTGGAGGCAGAGGGAGTTCACCACTGGCTGAGAGGAACAGAAGCCATCTGTTTGTCAAGTCAAGACTACAGATGCATTTTCAGAATGCGTACTCAAAGGACTAGAGTAAAATGAAGAGAGCAAAAGCAAAGGTAGAGCGTGAATGTAGACACATACCAGTTTTTCCTGTACTGGCCTTACAAAGAGAAGGGCTCTGCTTTCTTTCCAAAGTGCAATGACTACAGAAACATCCAAAATAACGGTGGGGTCAAGAAATCTCCAATTCAGTTTGATTCCCTTGAGCTGTGGCAGGACAGCAAATTCAAGCCTAAGCTAAAAAGGGGAACTGACTTTCTCAAATATTCTGCAAGACCCTAAAAGTACATGGCGCTTACATGGTCAATGCAGTAGAATCTGAGTCCTGTTTAGTAAACCACTTGATCTGTAATGCTACACGTGCTGTCACCCTGTATAAAGGGATCTCCCAAAGTACATGAAACAAAGCAATTCAACTTTCTTGGGTTGTCTCATCTTCCTCCTGCAGACTGTACATAATACTTTTCCTTTCTGGATTATTTTAGTACTTTCTAACATTTTTTATAATGCATAGCTTGCTCATGTTGAAATCCCAAGTAATTCTCATCTGTTAGCTAATCAGGGGTCTTTTAGAAGAGCTGGTTTTGTAAGCAGACTGTAATTTTGCACTGTGGAAGTGGCCTGACAAGAAGGTATTTTAAACGGAACAAGCAGCACAGTCATGTTGTGTCGTAAGCTGAGGATACCATCTCCATCTGCTAGATGGTACTATGAAAAAAACAGGCTTTGAAGAGAATGCTTGGCTAAATCTACAGCTGGCATTTTGGAGGCTCCTAACTAAATGCAGACTGCAGCTGGAAACAAAGTAGAATTACACAATGGTGTAAGTCCAGGTGACCAAGGGTTTACCAACTAAACATCTTGGGAACTTTGCCATCTTATCTGTTCCACATGCGTATCTATTGTTCCGCATGTGAAAACGGTAAATTTATCAGTCTACCAGAAGTGTCTTGAATTAGAAAAATATCATGAAACCTGTTACATGAGTCTTTACCGTGTACCCAGAAACAAAGCTGCAGGTTTACAAGTCACAAAGCTAACTTGGCTTGTGCTGCTCTTAATTCCACTAAAAAGAGCACTAGAAAAAGAGCAGACTGGTTGTTGCTACATTAGCGACTAATATTAGCTCCACTACATCAGGAATTACTGGGAGTTATCCAGCAATAGTCTGAGTGGTGCCAATGGAAAGTCAAGAGTTCAAGTATGTACAGATCTTTCATAGCTGTCAGTCTTCTGCAGAGCAAACTGTTTATCTCTGGGCCAAGGCTGTAACTACTTCAGTATCGGGTTTGGGAAGTATGTTTTGCATACTAACTTTTGAAAAATGCATTTTTCTGTGAACCTGTACAACTTTAGTTGTGTGTTGTTCATGCATCCCTTTGTACAAACACTGCTGAGAAGAAACGTGCCGTAATGAGGTGCTTGATGTACACTGCAATTACAATATGGTGAGCTGTCTATTTCAGTAACGCTCCATAGGCCAAACAGGCTCGTCACAGAAGAATAAAAAACGCAGTATGTTCAAATAACTTCCACTGTGCTTTCATCTATAGAAATATTCCATGCATTTCACATGGATTTGGCAGAACAGGCTGTTTACATACTGTCAGACTAACAGTATGTGGAGAGGCACTGACAGCTTCAGGTCTTGGGGTGCTTAATGCCGTGGGCTCTATCTGCTGCAGTTGTGGTTCGGTGGCAAGGTAACTCTACTTAAATACTTGGCACGGAGAGGAGGGGTTCTTAACCTCACTGATGTCCATCTTTGGGCAATAAAATTAGTTCTCTTGCAGCTGCACATGGTGCTGATTTGTTTTAGCTAAGCCAGCAGTTTGTCCCAGCTGTTTTGTTGTACGATTGGCACACAACCACACGCAGCCTAGCTCAACCCGAACAGTGCGATGGCAACTGCTCTGTTTAAGGTAAAGGCACACAGGACGTGATCAGCATTTTGCATGGCTTTGTAAAAGGCAACTGGAGTACCAGGAAAACAAAACAGAATTAAAACTCATCCCCTTCCTCTGCTCTCGAATGTAACTCTCCTCTGTGCTTGTTCTTCCTGCACTGCCATAACTCAGTGCTCGCTCCCCAGGGAGGAGCTTTGGCTGCTGCACAGAGGCTGCGATGCAGCTCCTCTGCAATGATTCACCCCACTCGCTTCCCCTGGGGTTAATCACTTACATTTTTTTTCTTCTACTGCTTTCCAACTTTTCTCCTCCCAACTGCCATTTAATGCACAAAACAGATGTGGATTGGAAGTTTTGTTATCAGTCTTAAAGCGCAACTGAGGTTGGCGATTCTTGCCTAACTCAGAAAAGTAACTACTCAAAAAAAAAATCGTCTATGCAGTATGCTTAGTTATTAAACAGCTAAGAATTGCTTTTAAAAAATGACAATTCAGAGCTGTAACAAACTGCTGTGCTTCCTACTGGACTAGTATGAACCTCATCCCAAGTGACTCTCTGAAAGAACTACTTGCAAAACACAGAGAAAGTCAACAGCCTGAAAGCCTGCTCCTCCCCCGGCACCAGTACCTGACATGCAGCACTCTGACTTCTGATGAGCTTAGAATTTCCACTTCACGCTACTAACTCATAAATCTGAACTGTGAAGTTGAAGTGATTTAAAAGCCTAGGGCATGTCTGAATCTGAGAGGAGGAGGGAAGAATTAGCTCTCCGAGAGCCAGGAGTCATGTGCAGCCGTGGCCGGTGACACTCAGAATAAGGCTAGAACTGCAGTGCAGCCACAGTGCTGCTAGGAGACTGCTGCTGCTGTTAAATTAGTGCCTCGTTTTATCATTACATGTGGAGCAGTGGTACACATCTTGACATGTAATTTTAATAATAGCTTGTAAGTGTCAGTGATAATGTAATCTATTTAACAATGAGCCTAAAGATTATCCAGAAGAGAGCATATTATGCCCTGTTAAAACAGCCAATCTGCATAAAACTTATGACAAGCCAGACCTTTTCAGTGTTTAATAAACTGTCTGAATATTCATTTTTAAGGCACTGTCCAAATTAGTTTGGTCACAGATGACTATTTAAAGTCCATTCCAAAGCTGGCAAATACACCAGGGAAATAACACAAGAATGGCAAAAAAAAAAGCAACAACAGACCACCCTCCATAAAAACAACAAAAGACTGCCTCTAGGCAAAACCCCTCATGATTAACATCAGCAATAATGGGTTCAATTCTAGCAAAACATGGGACGACATTTGTTTCAAGTACTTACTGGCCGCTTTTGTATAGGATTGGTGCAGGGCAGAGCAAAAACTCAGATTCCACTGTTTTTGGTTTTTCATCTGAAAAAAAAAAAAAATCACGAGCTAAATCTACTGTGCCACTTAACGCGAAGCTGAGGCGTGAACATGCTATGGAGCCCCTTCCCTTATCGCAGCATGCTGGGCACTGCTTTGGTGATTGCAAGCAAGGCAGGCCCCAGTTAGGGAAAAAAACTGCTTGTTTTTTTTTTTTTAAGGCTGCATCTTGGACATACAAACTGATAGTTGACTTTAAATGTGAATGTGGGCCCACATTACACTGCTTATTTCATTTTACACATGTCAGCTCATGCTTTTCCAGAGAGGTAATTTCTTAGAATCGAGACCTTTTTTGCAAAGAGTGAGAACATGATTAGGCGTTTACTAATATTTGGAAGATGAAGTGTGTTTCTAATTAGCTCCAACCCTGTGCATTGTATTCAAGGACTAGTTTATCAGTTGTGACTGGTTCTCATGCTCCAGTGTTCCTCATGCTTTTGAGTCTCTAGCTGTTTGCAAATCTCTTCAACTCATAAAGCATCCACTTGTAGAGCCCTGAGTCCACCACAGCACTTGTTTTCTGCACTTGTGGAAAGGAGAGGAGGGGGCTCTTTTACCTCACGTGTTTGGTAAGCTGGCAAAAATTCTGCTCCTGTGGGCAGAACCATCCTCCCAAACTTCCCCATGGTAGGACTGTTCATTCTGCCCTGGAGCAGAAGCATAGACTATTCAGGGGATTTAGGGGAGAGAGCAGATAAATGATCTGCTGGAAAAACCTGTCCTGCATTTAGGGAACAGGCAGACATACAAGTAGTTCAGGGGCGGCTGAAGGAAGAGCTGTTAGCATAAATGAGCTTTTCTTATGTGCTATAATCTGCACTGACTGCTTGGCCTAGATTTGGGGCTAGTTGTGAGGTGGGGAAGAGGGATTAGCACATTGCCATATGTTTTTGTCTTAATGGTATGTTTCATAGATTATTTTTCTATCCCACAGCTACATTTGGCAGGTTTCCTTTCTAGCATTTGGTAATGGTTCTTTATAAATGTAGAAAGAGAAACGTGCCAAATACATCTTTTAAAACCAGAAGAACTGACAAAATAACGGTTTGCTCTGAGGCTGGTCCCAAAGGGGAGCCCATTCTATCAGTAAGGGGACCTCTGAAGTACATCCTCATGCAGGTACCCTCCGTGTTGCCCTCAAATGGTGAGGGTTCTGCTGGGAGCACGCCAGTTTTCCGTAGAGGAGAATGCAATGACACGGGGACAATTTTCATTTTGTTGGGACCATGTCCTCCTTCCTGCTACTGCTTCAAGAGCCCTTCCTGCCTTTTTGTCCATCCCAGCTCCACTGTTTTAGATTTCTGTCAAGACCAAAGTGCTTGGAGCCCAGCACAGAGCTGCAGAGAACGAGCTTGTGTACCAGGGGAAAGATCACTTTAAATTTCCCTGTTTTCTTCTTATACTACTCCCTACGTGTCTGCTGTCATCCATTGCTGCAGACGAGAACCTGGGTGGGTTGTCGCAGGCCTTTGGCAAGACCCCATACAGCAGATTGTGTTTTTACACTGCACCATATAATAAATACATCACTACGCCATTCCCTGCTCTTCGTGTGCTTTAGCACGCCACTTCCTGAAGCCAAGAAAGAAAAACAAAGCAGCCCAGAGATCTAGTTGGAAATTCTCACATCAGATGCTAGCAAGTATCTGGGGGCTTCATCCTGCCCAAGTCTCGTTATTTCTCCCACGGCAAAGCAGAAGTACGTACGCTTTACAGCTATGAAAGACTGCACAATCGGAGAAACCAGAGTCAGAAAATGTCACAAGGTCAGTGAAAGGAGGCAACATGGTTCAGAACTTATTCAGTGGCGCTCATCTAAGCTGTTAAAAGGCTTTCTAGGTAACCTATTCCAGGCCTGAGGCGTGTTTACAGTGAGAACTGTTCTCCTGATGCCTCACCTGATCTTGTTCTCAGTGGAACTGGACAGCCCACCTGTACTGGGTTTGCGTGGCAAGGTTTTGGTAGCGGAGGGGGCTGCGGGGGTGGCTGCTGTGAGATGTCAGAAGCTTCTCCCATGTCCAACAGAGCCAGTGATGGCCAGCTCCACAACAGACCTGCTGCTAGCCATGGCCGAGCCAACCGGCAACCGTGGTAGTGCTTCTGGGGTAACGGATTTAAGGGAGCGTGGGAGGGGCATTGCTAAGCTTGGGGAAAATGGCTAAATCCTTCCTTACCCCTCACATTCTGTAGGTCCCTGCCTCCACCAGTACCTGAATGGACTCCATCAGGAGATGAATGCTACGAACACCATAACCATATTGATGCAAGGCTCAAAACACTCGCGTGAAGAAGGTACGTGCTACTGTGTTTATTTCCCAAAGGGCCAGGCCGGGGTGTAGAGAAGTGACTGCTCATGGAAAGCAACAGGTCAGGAACAAAGCAGGAATAGAACGGAGGAGTCCTGATGACTTGCAAGCCAGCCACTTAAACTGAAAGTTAAGTTCTGATTATCTTCAGGTCATGTAACTGATGTCTCTACTATTTACTCTGGAGAGTGTGAAATTAATTTTATTTAGTCCGTTTCCCCACTTCTCCAAGTAAGAAATGAAAATAAATACACAACTGTAGCAGTAGTTCTACCACATTCCAGCTCTATAAAGCTCATTTATGCAACAAGGGTAAATAAGCAAGCTGTAGTCTAAGGTAGGAGACAAAGGTGACAATTTTAATTGAAACTGAAGGGAAACTTACACAAGCAGAATTTCTTTACATTGGTTGCCTTTATCCAGAACTACTGTGCTATTCTGTTATTCTTTCAAATTATTTTAGATATTTTAACAGGCAGGAGAGATTGGCAGCCCACTCAAGTGTGTATGATATCCAGAGCAAGGAAGAAACTGGAAACACATGCTCAATTGGGTAGGAATTTAAGGCAAGCTAATATAAAAATCAGGCATTAGGTAGGAAAAAAATGAGGTTTTATTCTGAAGGTCCATTTTTGTTCATTTTCCAGTCTGGCTTGCTTCGAAGGGATACTGCTTAGAGCAAGAAATTGGATGTACTTATACAAGACGTCTGGTTTAGTTTCTGGATATAAAAAATGGCGGAGGTTTCCATTAATGGCATTTTTTCCACCATTATCTATCTTGTGCCAGTTGAGGGAACAGAGGAGCAAAAGGAGACTAATCCAAATTCTGTCTTAATGTTTCATCTGCCCTGCTCTGAGTTAATGCACTGAGCAAGAGAAGACCAAATCCTGAATATGTGCTGAAAGTTAAATTCTCCATGAGCATACTTAATCAGATAGCAAGAAAAAAATAGTCTGCACTACCTCTCAGAGCTTTTATAACTTCTGCAGCCTGCCACTCAGATGAATTTCCTCAGTGACACTTACAGTTTGACAAAGGAAGAACTAAGGATTGTAACATCTAGCCAATGGTGTGTACTCATAATAAAAAATCAAAACCATCCAGCCGCACCCCCCAAAAAAAGCCCCAGACAAAGCTACAGGGAAAATGCCTGTAAAAGATGCCATGGTCCCTTGGAAGGAGAATTCCTTTCCAAAGGTCAGGAAACTAGAGTCCAGCTAGGGATCTAGTTACAGTGGGACTCACTCCTGGAGGAAAGTGCTGCTTGGGACATTTTGCTGATAAACCATGTCAAAATACAGAGAGAAAACAGCACAGACTGTTCTAACTTGGCCTTATTCTGTCTGTGCTGGATCAGGAGCTCCAGGAAGAGGACTCCACACCATGGAGGGGCACCCACGCCCTGCCAAGCCCCTGAACTGAACAGCACAATGGCGATGCATCTGGTACATCAGACAGAACGGGCATGGATGCTCCAAGGTAACAAGGTCAGTGCACACTGGAAAATAGTGCCTTTTGGAACCACGAGGAGGGCTTGTGTCTTGGCCTGGGTCTTCTTACAAGGGGCGCTTGGTCAGTACACTGTGTGGTCATGTTTTGTTCATCAGCAAGCATCTGCTGACTTTAACAGTTATCGTGTTGATTCACACAGCCAGCTGGGCTGCCACACACCAGTCACAGCTGAGAGCTAACGGCAACTGGTAGCAAATTCAAACCACTGAGCAAGATGTGAAATAACTGCTATGGTCTTACTAATCCTCAGACTTTTCCCATTTTCCTCCTCTTCCATATTCTCCTCTTTGGATTTTAATTGAGGTAACGAGAAGTAAAATCACTTATTAGGAAATATAAAGGCAGATCATCTCAAACTTCAGTACTTACGAATTGTAGTTCCATTCACTTGATAGGTACAAGTTACGCCATCAGTTTTCCCACCAAGAGTTAAGCCGCTTCCTCTAAGAACAACTTGAAACTCCTCTGGAGAGCAAACCAAAAAACCAAAATCACTGATCTTTAGTGCACTGCAGTAAGTGAGACAAGGATAATTTCTATATAGCCTCCAGTAAATGGAGCACAACATCATAATGCTTCACAGCTACTCAGGTCACCTTTTTAATTGACCCCTGGTACTGCAACCTGCAGTTAGGTCACTATAGGGAAAATAAAGATTTGTCCCCAAATTCTTATCACTGAGGCAGCACTATTAAATGTAAGTTGATTCTGACTATCAACAGGATCTGGGCAAGTGAATTCCTTGGGTCTCAGCTGCACAGTAAGAAACAGTTTCTCAGTGACTATTGTGATAACTGAGAAATCTGGGTCTCATAACAAGACAACTCCCCAAGCTTGGAGCAGGTCCACTTAAAGTGCCAGATGAAGAAAACATTCCTCCTCAGTACTATTTCTCTGGAAGTTGCACAAGGACCACACTATTTGTAAACTGTGGAGAGGAGGAGGGAAAACGGTTTGTTTACCAAGGCCCCTGACTTCACTGAGGTGATCCATGTTTTTACAGAAACATCAAAATAAGGAGATTTTGCAACTACCTTATGTTGATTGGTCTCAAAGTATGTGTGGGTTGTGAAACCCAGGAAGAAGACAAGCCCTTAAAATTTTGTGCAACTCTTCTACTTAAATGTATTACCACTTGCTGCTCAAAAATGCAGTCAAATGCTCTGCTAACACTCCAGGGATTCAGGGCAGGGCACTACAAATATTCTCACGAATTTATATGAACATATGTCACCAGGATTCCCAGAACTTACCTCAGTGACCACAGGGATCAGTATACGAGTGTCACAGAAGAAACATCATTGCTTTGAATACAAGGGCAAGTGCAGAGCGTGACTAATGGGAGAGCGGCAGACAAATGCCTCTCAAACTTTTCCATGCATTACCTAAATGATGAAAGTAGGCCCTGGAAGATAGCTCTTTTGAGGAGAAAAATAAGTCAACAGAGAAGGACCTGACCTTTCTTAAACTTCTAGAGGATTTTTTTAGATAGAGGTGGCTTATTCTAGAGACCTGTGGGGTTTTCCTTTGGGTGTAATATGGAAATCTCATAGTCCTATAATAATTGAATATTATTTTTAAATTATAAAAACTTACCTCCCACACAGACACTGGATGGCTCCAAATATAAAATCTCAGTGCATGATTGCTTCAAAACCTATTGCAAAGGAGAAAACTCGTCATAAATAGGCTTCAGAGTGCTCTTTCAGTGAGGACCTTGTCCCTAGAAGATGCACATGCACAGCTGCAGGTTTGACTGGCCCAAGTCTGACTTTGTAGGACATTGCCTCGACCATGTAAAACTTCTACATGCCTGCACAGCCATGTCTCCTAAGAAGGCATAAGACTGGGATTAGTTTGTTAAATCTGGGACAGTCTTCAAAACACACTGATGTCTGATTTTGGCCTTTAAATTTCTGTCCAGATCCTTAACCTAATTTTCCAAGAACCCCATCCTAAAATTTAAGCCAAAAATTAGTCACAAGAAGCCTGATCCAAAATCTAATCCAGTCAAAAGCAGTCTTCCAACAATCGGTAGGTCAAGCCAAGTGCAAGTTATTCCAAGTGCTGGCACCCTGCCCTGTGTAAAGCAGAGCAGGAACACACGGTGTTCTTGACTGCGTTGCGTTCTGTTGGATTGGTTTTTTTCACTGCCGTACCAGGCAGCCTGCTTTGATTCTCCAACCATTCAGGCAATATGCTTCCAGAAGGCTGGAACAAAACAATACTCCTACAGGTGACGTAGAAATACAAGAGATGGAAGGCAAGAGAAAGGAGGAGCTACGCACCCTTGAACAATTTGTACTTGTAAGGTGCCAGACACCAGCCTTAGTTACAGACAAGTCACATTTTAGCATTTTCAGATGCATCAAGTGATCAGGTTATCCATGGTCACTAAAGCAGAACCATAAACAGCACCCAGGTACTGATACTGAGGACCACCTCACTCTCCATTCAAAAATGGTGCGTCTGAGGAGCCATGGGTCAAGCTTATCTGACTACAGCTGTTGCTGGAAGCTAATCGTGAGACTGTACTCTCCTCCCACTGCCAGGATCTCAATCCCACAGCAGGGCCCCATGTCTTCCCTCTTACTCCAGGAAGGAGCTGTGATCTCTCTTACTGAAATGTTAACCCTCTTTTCTGCAAGCAGGTAACAGGATTTCTGATAACTCAGGGGGAATCATTCTCTTGAAGCTTGCAGGGTAAACACACACAAACAATCCACAATTCCACTTCCTTCTACCTTCACATGACAATGTGCCATTTTTCCCCATGGCTTTTAATCTTCCTCTCACTCAGAGAACTTTCATTATGGATTTATATAGCTTTCCCTGTGAGAGGTGGTATATTTTTTAGCAGTCATTCATATATAATACTGCATGGAATCACCTCGGGTTCCTGTAATCACGTGCACAGTAGAAAGTCTACTTCTCTACCTCCATTTGCTGAAACTCTGCTGCTTCTGAGCTGGCCTGTCAGTAAATGTAACTCTGTCCTACTCTTAGCTCCTTTTTCCTTCCTTTAAATGCATCTTTTTTTACTCTGTCTACTCTATTTGCTAGTGATTTCTGTTGGTACAGAAGCAATAACGCATTTGTCAGTGCACACACTCAAAAAGCACACCAGCTTCCAGGACAGAGAATAACCTGCCTCATCTAACACCTTCCGTATCACCTGTCTTCCCATCTTCCCACAAACTGCTGTGCGCACATGAGCTTTGTACTGCCTTCAAAACTGATTCATAAACTTTAAGTAGTATCTAAAAAAAAAAAAAAAAAAAAGACTTTGCAGGCGCATACGTTTGGATGAGACACAGCAATAGGGATCTTTGGAAAGAATGTAGCTGGGAGTTCAGTGCAAGTAGACCAGTTTATATTAGCTGAGGATCTCGTTTCCAAAAAAGGACTGAGCTTTTGATTCCTGTTTCAGTGCAGAGAGATGAAGTGTTACTTAGTTTATTTTTGGAGGGTGGGAGAAAATTTTTTATGCAAAATAAAATACAGAAGGAATAAAGCATTTTATTCTTCTCCTGTAAAAACACATTCTGTTTTTTCCTTCTGATGAGACTGAGTCGCGTGAATAGTCCCATGAGAGCCAATGAGACTACAGACGTGCTTTAATATGAAGTACAGAGCTAGCAGGTGCCAGTATCAAGGCTCACTGAATTCATTACATTTTTTTTAGAGCAGCACTAGGTAGGGAAAAATCTTTCCAACTCCTATCCCATCCCCATTTGCCCACTGCCTGATGAAGCAGGGCCACGTTATGAATGGGGCAGGGGAAGGAAGACAGTGGCAAACATAATTAATCTACCTTTCCTTGGAAAGTAGTATTTCTGTAGTTGCACCGTATTTGATAGTGAATTTCTAACACTGTATTTCCAACTGCAATATAAAACAAGAAAATAACCTATCTGGATATGCTTAACTCCCTTCGGATTTAAGAACAAACTGGGGGGTGGGGAACCAACCCCAACAGAGATAAAATACAGCTGAGATAAAATTAACGAACAAAAGTGAATTTTATATAGTGTCCAGGATACACTGATTTCCCCCACAGCAGCATGGAATTCATATTTATACATGTAGATGTGTTGCTCTTGACATAAAGCAGGAAAATACTGGGGTTTAATACTGTTCCTAGAAATAAACAATTGGTTTGATAATTTTTGATCGTAGATAAATAATAGACAATTGCTGTTCCCCACTTGGCTTGAGAAAGCTGTACTGGTCAGAGATCCTCAGTCTCTTTGCAAGTGTAGTGACCTAAGTCTGTCATTTTCACTCAAACAAAGCTTAATTAGGAAAACAAAAAAACTGTGTGAAGATACCAAAATTCATTTTTCTGAGTTACTCAAATTAGTTCTTTTCCATCCTTCAAAAGCTTCTCAATAGACCATGCTCTTAAAAAAAGGGTACTGCTATAGAAATCTGCCTTGTCCTTTAAAATCCTTCCCTTCAGTAACAATCATCAAGGAACCTTAAGAAGCAGAAATAGAAGCAGCCTTTTAAAGACCCAACTGGAATCAGGTGGACTCAACCTAACAGCATATAGGTAGCTCTTTCCTCAACCTTTACTTTCCGGGTTCTTCTCACCACTCCCTCTAAGCAACACCGAAACAATATGCAGAACTGAATTTTCCATCATTAAAGTAAAAATCAGATACAGCATTCTTGCCAGGGATCAAATCCTATTAACTGTACCAAGCACGATCAGTTTGAACAGTTTAGGCCATAAGGATATGGTAACTGGCATTTAGCTGACACAATGGAAAACCTGAAAATATTTTCCAAGACAGCCTTGCTCTTTCACATGTGGGAGAGGAAAATGTATTTTCACATCTCAAAAGGATGTATAGAAACTTGCAGCCTTTCTTTACTCTCCTTTTTTCTCTGGCTCACATTCTTTTCTATCTGTTTTAATCTTTTCCATGCAAGCTGTTCTTTCCAAGCTAGCACAGTGCACTCCAATAAAAAGCTCATGTCTCTTCCTTAGGAGGAATGATGGAAAGGCATCTTACCCACTTTGCCTTATGATGCACGTTCATTATGTAATATGCTGTCGTATCCCTAGATCAGAGCTGTTCCTGTTTCACCCTTTCTAGAGGTGGAAGGATCTTTCAGCAGTAGCTGATGAGGGATTTTCCAAGGTTCGTATGAACAGTCGGAGTTCCCCTTTTCAAGAGGGGGGTGCTTTACCAGGCAGTTGGAAAGGGGTAGGCAGTGGACTCGTGCACAGCGCCTGGGAGTTCTCACGCAGAGTTGAAACCCAGTATCCCTGCCACGTTTGCAGCCCCGGGGAGGGATCTGACCAGTCTCAACAGTTACAGCTTTTAGTGGAGCTTTTGCAGTTGTGTGTTACCGAAACACATTTGAACAATAGCAACATACCAAACAAAGCACACATATAATTTCATCTGCCTTCTTCCCTCCCCTTTAAAAAATTAAAACTAACATTAAACTATCTTGCTGGGGAAACCTGGCCTGTAAAGTCAGCAAGATCATAACAAACTCTACAAAAATCTGTACTATGCTCCCACTTTCCCAGTTCAGGACAATCAAAGAGAATGATCTAGCATTGCAAATTCTTTATTTAGAAACTTACTGCCCACAAGAAAAGTTTAAAAAAAAAAATCACTATATAAGGCCATCCCTGGATAGGATAGTTAAGCACTCTGCTGACATAAAATAAATTCAGATAAGACTATAAATTCACTTAGTTTAACAGCATGCAGGGAGAGATTCAGAGAGTTGATGTTATCCATTTCCAGAGCTCCACACCAAATATAGGGCTCTGTTCTACCAGCCTTGCAAAGGCTTTCCTTCTACCCTCCTCCCTCAACGTTAGCTGTCCCAGAAAGAAACATTTCCCCACAAACTGAAATACAAAACAGAGCAGAAACCTGTTAGCCTGTGTCCCGTCTTCTTACAGCTTCAGAAATGGAGAACCGAGGGGTTCTGAGACACAGCTGTGCAGTGCAGAATTGATTACAGCTGGAAACACACAGGCTAATCAAAGGGGAGAGGGTCACACCAAAGTCACACCTGTGAGCTTGTCATTTTAACCCTTGTTAGGAAGCAAGTGCGGCTGCTGGAAAAAGAAAAGGCAATAGTGCTGCTCCTTGAGGTAGTCAGTCTCTTGTACTTAAAGAAGATGAGACTTGAAATTCAGGCCCCAAACATCCTCTTGTTCATCAACAGGCTGCTAAGGAAACCCTATTCCGTAGCTCCTCCGTATACAGGATTTGTTGTACACATACATCGCTGGCATGTTGCAGCAGCTGACCATCCAAGATTTAAAAAATTTGTTTTCTATGAACAGTTTTTACAAAAGGTGCATCAATAACAAGCAGCATGAATGCAGCTTATGCTCAGTGCTGAGAACACAGAACCATAGAATGGTTTGGGTTGGGAAGGACCTTCAAGATCATGGAGTTCCCAACCCCCTGCCATGGGCAGGGACACATCACCCAGAACAGCTTCTGAGGGTTAGCTGAAGGCAGAAGAGCCTCTGAGGCTTTTAGTGAAATCACATCTTACTGCTATTAAGTGAATGGATGCTGTACGGTCTTCACAGCATTCTCAGTGATGTGAGTTAATCATTTCAGAATACTTCTGAGAGCAGAGTTATCAGACTAAAGGCATCTGAGATATCCC